CACCAGCCACGTGGCAAGGTATAGATTTATAAAAATGGGTTAATTTAAGATATAAGAACAGTTAGCAAGAAGCCTTCCACGGCCATACAGTTTATAAGTGATATAAGCGTCTGAGTGATTATTTTATAAGTGGATTGTAGGACTGCGGGGCTTGGGGAACCTGAAGAAAAGCCCTCCAGCAACAGGAACTTATTCCAGGGAACAGTATCATAGCTATCAAACAGGGAGCCAGGCTGTTTCCTCATCTAATTGCCACAAAACTCGAGGAAAGGCAGAGCATCAGGGCTGGAGAAACGGCTTAGTGACTAAGTTCAATTCTGAAGACCTGAGTTCAGTCCTCAGCGCCCACATGAAGAAGCCGAGTGTGGTAGTATGTAATTGCAATCCCAGCCTGAGGAGGTGGAGACAAGACATCCCTGGGGGCTTGCTGGCTGGGAAGCCAACCTAGCTGAATGGAGGAGCACTGAGCCAGTGAGAGACATGATCTCAAAACAAACAAACAACAAACAAAAAACCCACAAAACACCAATGTGGAGGGCTAGAGAGATGGCTCAGTGGTTAAGAGCATTGGCTGCTCTTCCAGAGGACCCAGGTTCAATTCCCAGCACCCACATGGCTGCTCACAACTGCCTGTAACTGCAGTTCCAAGGGATCTGACACCCTCACACAGAGTATACACAGGCAAAATGCCTGTGCACATTCAATAAATAAATAACTCTTTTTAAAAAATCAGAATCAAGATGTAATTTAAAGTGGGCGGTGGTGGCTCATGCCTTTAATCCCAGTACTCAGGAGGCAGAGGCAGGAGGATCTCTGTGAGTGTGAGTCCAGCCTGGTCTACAGGGTGAGTTTCAGGACAGCCAGAGACCGACAGGGAAACCCTGTCTCAAAAGACAAAACAACAACAAAAGAGAGAGGGGGGGGGATGGAGGGAGGGATGGAGGGAGGGAGGGAGGGAGGGAAAGAAAGAGAGAAAGAAAGAAAGAAAGAGAGAAAGAAAGAGAGAAAGAAAGAAAGAAAGAAAGAAAGAAAGAAAGAAAGAAAGAAAGAAAGAAAGAAAGAAAGAAAGAAAGAAAGAAAGAGAAAGAGCAATATCGAAGCTCCTGAGGAACACCAGAGGTTGCCTTCAGGCCTCCATGTACACACACATCCATGTACACACACATCTGCAAACACACAGACATGCACATATATGTGCACACACAAAAGAAAGTGGGGTCTTTTTCCTGGGATACAGGGGGGAAGCAGCAGCTCAGAGAGGTTAAAGAACTCGCCACGTCACATTGTTGAGGGTGGACCCGGACAAGGACCCACGGCAGCATCATGCTGCTTCCCTAGGGGGGACCCTAGCAGCACACTTTCTGGGACGGCAACAGCTCCTGGAGACCAGGGACTGCCGGGGCACTTGAGTGGATCAGAATAGTGGCGTGGACGGGGTTTCCCAGGAGTCTTGAGGGCATTTCAGTCACCTTTTCTCTCTAGGCCCAGCATGTCACTCCTGAAATCCATCATGCAGAATTAGGTCAACTGTAGAGGAGGCTCTGACCCACCTGGGACCTGAGTGCAGACACCTGAGGATGCCCTGAGACCCCGGAAGCTGCTGTCCTCACAGCTTCTCCCCTGCTGGCTCGTGCCTACCCTGACATCTGAGAGGGCT